ATATGTTGTATATAAAGATTAAGAAGAGTGGAATTGAGAAAGCATAAATGAAATTGGGCATTTGTTTTTCTTAACAAATTTTCACGCCCAAATGATGAAAGCTGCCTTACATCTTTAAGACAGTTTTTATCATTTCTAACAATCTTTATTAACCTTTACTCTCTAAATTCAAGTGGTTTTCCTTCTGGTCATTTTTTTATGATTGCTATCACTCTATTATCAGCTATGAAAGTTGATCAGAATGATTAACATAGAAGGAAAGTTTGTATTGTTGCACTTTTCAAATATTTATTAATTATAATAGTTACTATAAATTATTACAGAATTGACGCGAAAATGCATTTTGTATACGTTGAATAGAATATCTAGTGTAAAAGATGTCCGTAAAGGCTGCTATCAGATTGCTTGAATCCCGTCCTATTTCATCGTTATTGCAGATAAATCAGAAATTAAGGGATGTGCGAATACAGGTTTGTAGTTGCATATATTTTATTTTTATCTTTAAGGAGGGCCAATTTTCATCACTTACATTACGTGCGATATAACTGAATGCAAGACAGAAGCATAAAAAGATATCTTGTAGGAGACTTGCATTATCAGATATTAAGGATTAAACGGAAAGGTTTCGGTTCATCTTTATCGAGGCTTAGTTATTTCGAAGGGAACTTAATTGGCTCAAAGCAGATATAAATTCCCTGAACGATTCCGGCAAACTAACCCTTTTATTATTTTTAATAAGTTAAACATTACTTAACATTACTTATGGAGTCAAACACTAATAAATTTTATTCTTAATGTTTTTTTATTCTTTCGAAAGAGCTGTGGCTTTTCAGGGATGGGCACGTCGAGTAGAAACACGCGGGAAATTCTTATTTGTGCATATTAGTGATGGATGTTCATTAAAAACGGTACAAGCTGTGATACAACGTGACATTTGTCCTAAAGTACCTATAGGTAGTGCTGTGGATATTGTTGGTGATTGGGTAAAAAGTCAAGGTAAACAACAAAGCATGGAATTGTTCGCTACAAATTGTGAAGTTGTCGGATTGCAGCAAAGAATGGTAAGTTTTTTTTTTCTTTCACTTCATTATTTAAAATCAAGACTAAAGTAGATATTCATATAGTAGCCATTATGTGGAGTGGAGCTGTTCCATACAGTTCGAACTGTCATAAGAGTTGATTTGGTTAATTCGTCTGTCATAACGATAGACGAATTGAGCAGATCTCATAGTTGTAATTATTTCTTACTATTTATCATCATTATATTATTAAGGATGATTTTGCACTGTCTTACTAATAATCTGTCGAATTACCATAAACAATACTTCTTTAGTGATTATAAAAACAAACTTCTGCTTTTTGCAAGTCTTTGTTTAATGTCCGAACTGTAAAAATATGAGCTGAAGTATTGTTCTTGTAAAATCTTACTGTGACTTATTCTTGCTATCAAACGATCCTAAATTTTCCTCTACCAAAGCTTGCTCATTTGTCATAAGTGATTTCTATAACATTGACCGCGTATTCTGCAAAGTTTAGTTTAGCGAATTACCCATCGACAAAAGTTGTGCGGATATCATACGTAAGAAATATCATTTACGAATGAAATCCATACCGTTCATGTGTATGCTACGGTTACGATCTCGGCTGGACCAGTTAAGTCGATCTTTTTTCCAGGTATCTTTCCTTTTCATTCCATTGTTGTTGAATATTTAGTGATTGTAAAAATAAACATCTGCTTTTGCAAGTCTTTGTTTATTGTCCGAAATATAAAATTATAAGCTGAAATGCCGTTCTTTTAAAATCTTACTGTGACTTATGCGAATTTTTTTTTTTTAATACATGGCTATTATGTTAAGTATCTTAATTGTTGTTCCAACGTTTATCATAATTTATCAAATGGAATTCAGTATAAAGTTCAGCATTAAGAATGCTTATGTCATCTTATCAAGTATTTTTCAAATTACGTAAGTTTAAAAACACACTGTTTAGAAGGAATCGTTCATCCATGTAGATACACCGCTCTTGACGCAAAATGATTGCGAGGGTGCTGGTGATGTATTTACTGTTCAGGTACTAATAAATAATTCATTCTTTATCAGTTGTTTTATTATAGAACTAAAAGTAAAAAAAAAAATTTTCTTGAATAATCTTGATGATATGTTGGTCTTCAAATGTTTTGCCCCTAAATTCATACATCAATACCTTAGCTATTCACAAAATCCATTCTTTATGGGATGCAAAATCAGCACTAGCTACTGTGAGCCGTAGATTAAAGATATCATGAATTCAAGTAAGTGCTGACTTTTTCTTTTTTTTCAGGCGGATAAACGAAATTATTTTGGTGATAAGACAATTTATTTGCAAGTTTCAAGTCAGCTGCATTTAGAATCCTTTATTGGGTATATTGAGTTGCATGTTTTTATACCGCATCATCCTTCACTTTACAACAGTTTTATGTGTGTAGTGCTTTCAGTGGAGAGAAGATTTTCGTGATCTCAAAAAATACTTTTTCATATCAACATAATATTGATATGTATAATTTGCTACAGTAGCCTACCGAAAGTATACACAATAGCACCTGCATTACGTGCTGATCATTCGCAGACTCGACAACATTTGGCAGAATTTCGAATGTTGGAGGCAGAATATGCGTTTGCAGATGATTTAGAACAGTTATGCGATTTGGTAGAGCGTTATATCAATTATGTGGTGGATGGAATGCTTACTTGTGATACGGGAGAAGTCAATTCTATGATGGAAGTCTTTTGTGATGAGGTAAGATATTTTATTTTAAAAAAAAAAAAATACCTAAATAGATTTGCTCATTGAAACATTGTGGAAGTAGAAGCATAACAACAAATAGAGCTTTCCTTCAGAGTGCAAAACTGCAATCACTTTTGTGGATTAATGGTCCTCGAAAATCATTTCCACGTATCCATTATGATGAAGCGGTCAGAGTACTACAAAGTAAGGGTGAAATTATATCTGGAGGTCGATTTAGCAAGGAGAATGAATTAGCCATGGTGCAGCACTGTGCCAGCCCGGTATTTATCCTTCGTTATCCGCATATACAGAAGCCGTTCTACATGAAACGTTGTGGCAATTATGTGAGTATAAGGTTATTTTTATCTAACTAAATAAAAGCCGAAAAATTTTTCTTTGGTATGTCAACAGCAAAATAACTTATTTACCCAAATTTGCCCAGAAAGGTAAGATCACCAATGTTAACTTGTAAAAGTTGACATTATCTTCTTAATTTATTAAGACTATTGATCATAAATATTTTCTAATTAGAATCATTCTTGCAAGTATTAAAATGCCTAACACCCAAAGGATAAGAAAGAAAGGAAAATTACATTTTATTAAAAATGATAGGTAAATTATTTGTTGTAGGCGGAATGTTTCGACTTGTTGGCGTCATTTGTTGGTGAGCTAGCTGGCGGTTCTTTAAGAGAATCAGATTCAGAAGAGCTCCGTCGTCGTGGATGCGACGATTCATTGGATTGGTATTTGGAAATGAGGCAGCACGGGCATCCACCCAGTGCAGGATTTGGCATTGGTTTAGAACGTTTCATGCAAGCTTTGTTTGGTATTCTAAACATAAAAGATACAGTGGCGTTCCCGAGATGGTACAAGCATTGTCCAAGCTAACAATAGTACCGCATACGTCAGTTTCGTATTTGCTCTGAAATTGAATTGTTAATGATTGCCTTATTGTTAGGAGTTTCCTGAAATGTTTCCTTTCTCGTTTGGTTGTTTTTCCATTAGGCAATCTTTTATGAAGTCTTTTACCTTTGAGGTTAGACAAATATTGAATTGTTTTCGAGGAGTTTATAGTTGAGGAAGGAACCTGATATATTTGATTAGTTATATTCAGTGATATTGAAATATTAATCATAAATTCGTTTTAGTTTTGCAAAAACTTTCACATGTAAACTCCAATTTTTTGAATAAATTAGATTTTCTTTTTTTGGTCTTCTATTTATTGGACGCCTGCGCTTAACATATTTGTATTTATTAGTTTCGGACATTTGATCTGATTCATTATCTTCCATTTTTAATCTTTTAGATATTATCATATGACATACCCGTGGATATGATTTCACCTACTATTGCGACTTCAAATAAATGGTTGCCTAATTTATCTCCACTAAAATATGCAAAGGAATGGACATTTGTTATGAATGAGCTGTTGTCGTTTCAGGAATTCGCAGTTTATACTATTGTAATAATTTAATTCACCCCAAGAGTAGTATGTTTAAATAAATTGGTGCTGAAGATGGTGAAACTCAAAAATAGGTGGTGTTTTTATGCTTTCTTTAGCTTTCTTTTTTGCTCTAAATACCAACGATGCTTGTCAAAAAAGATTCAAGTAAATGTGAATAAGCTTAATATAAAATAATTGAGGGCTTTGATGTTGCGTCCATGCAACTCCTTTTTCCCATCAGTGTTACCAGTAGCACAGTCGCGCCTATCTTACAGTTCGCGGAATAATATTACATTATAATTCTGAATTTTCAATCACTTTTACTTTGTTTCCTGAATAAATTAAAGATCCATTAAATTTCATAAATTTTAATAAGAGGATAAATGAGAAGGATAGCAATTTTGATTAGTTACGGCGAAAGATTGAAATTCTTTTAAGATATGTTTTGATGGATGTACTATTTGATGAAAAAGGTGGTGTTGTAACGGAATCAGCAATTTATGCGGCACTCTGTAAACAGATCGGAATTCTTTTTGGTGATTATGGAATGGCAGCAGCAAAACTTTCACTAAATGTTAAGGTACAGTTAATGATACCTTTACCAAAAAAAAAAAAAAAACGATTTCAGGAAGTTATTTATTAGAATTGTTTCTTTTTTTTAAATACATAGATGGAATGTTTTATGCTAATTTTTTTCTTTAATGAATATAATATGTTAACTATTTACGAAATAATGCGAAATACATAAATATTTCCTGTGAAAGAATAATTTCTTATCATTTTTTACCAAGCGATGATAGAAAATCATTATTAACGGAGAATGCCCTATGATTTTAACTACAATGTAGATCTCTACACAGTTAAATGACGAAAAGTATGAAGTTTGATAAAAGTTATTAGTTCGAAATGTATTCATATGCAGTTGCTTGTAGGTTTTCGATGCTGGTACGGCAACAACTATTGTCAGGATATCAAAAGAATTTGCACAGCAACTTCTCAGTACAATACCATTCGTATACACAATTGGTGGTATAACAGCTGTACTACAAGTGCTCTTTGTTGGTTAGAATCATTACAAAATTGTGTTGGCAATATGATCAAAAAAAAAAAAAAAAATTGTTATTCATTGTTATCAGCAAGATCAGAAAGATAACAATAATTAATACTAATACTAGTGTTAATATTAATATTAATAATAGTAAGTAATAATATTAAAATAAAGCATTAATAAACAGGACTGATCGCTTATTTATGGCTTTATTGAAATATTTTGTCCTTTTAGGTTCATCCATACGTTCCTGTCAGAAAGCATTGGTAAGGATAAATCGGAAAAACTTATATTCTAATTACATAGCTGCAAAAACCGATGGTGAGGAAGATTTTTTTTTTTTCTAGGACATGTTAAGACACAGAACTTTTGTAAGGATATACTTTTTCAGAACTTTTCTAAGGACATGCTTTTTCAGTTTACGGTCATGTTTTGCCATAAAGTGTGAAATATGTCTTTAAGAAACTAGTTTTAAATATACAAGATATGCTTTTTGTTTTCGGCGATGCAACAATTAAAGAGGAGAAGGAAGATATTGATAAAATTTTCAAATGTTTAGGAGAAAAGAAGGATATATTGGAAGCTATACGAAGTGTAACAGGAAATGTGAAATTTGAAAATACTTTAAGTGTTTAATTATGTCTAATACTGTTTCTTACATCCTGTAATCGAGCTGTCTTTTAATGCATAATTTTAATTCATGATTTTTTTAAATGCATTCATGAATGCATGATTATGACCGTTCTCTTATTGTCACACCTTCGTATACTAAAAGAAAATGAGTACTTTCGATTTCTCGTTTTATTGAAACTAGTTTTTTCCACATCTGCCATTGTTATATTGCCTTTAATAATTTTCAATCAAATTCTTATTTCATATTTTCATCTAAGTTTTCGTTGATTTTCTTATAAGTCAATCAGAATAATGCTTTTTTCCCAATAATCTGTAAATATGACGATAGCTGCTATCTTATATGAAAACGGTTTATCATTACTTAATGGAATGAATGAATTTCGTGTACGGATATAGCTTAAATCGTTCAGTAGAATTTGTCTGCCGATTAAATCATCCATGTTGAGTTCGCTTGCCTCCACCTTATCTAACAGCTTTTCCAAAGTTGTTTCTTTGAGAATTGTTGGTCCTAATAAATATTAATCACTCTGTATCTCTTTAAGAAGTTGTCAAGAATTGGATGTAAATTTGAAATAGATCTTTCAATTTTAAATGCAAGTATTATTGTTATGTTTTGTGGTAAATTGAATAAACCATTTGTATATTTTATTCGTTAATCTTTTGCATGATTTTTGATGACACCTTTTTTTAAATGTATTCAAAATTTAATTTCATATTTTCAAAATGTTCAACTATGCAAAAAAAAAACAGGATTTTATTTTGCTATTTGGAAATTTTATGTTTCCTTTTTTTTTTTTAAATTTTGATCCTGCATTTTTATTCCTTGCCTGATTTTACCAACTTTTGCTGTTTTTATTACTCTCATTTTTTATTTTATTTGTTGTTTATTCTCCGTTATCATTTATTTTACAATTTGGCTTTTCCACAAATAATATTTTCATCAAACGACTTAAATTTTCCACTTTTCTCTTTATTTTTCTTTGCAAATTTATTACTAATTTATAAAAACTGTTTCATTTTCATTCAATAATTGAAAGTTTCTTTTTTCTTCAAATCATTATATAATTTCTTCCTAACCTTCATTTTTCCAGTTCATACATCTAAAGCTTTTTTTTTTTAAAATTATATCTGAAACGAAAAAAATCAAATATTTAGAAAAAAAAATTGATTATGAAAACTATTTCTTATTTCTCCATATTTCTTCAATACTTATATTATTATATTAGCTTATATTATTGTTCTGTTGAATTCATCAATGTGAACATTAAAAATTAAAAACTTATTGGATTGCAAAAATATAGGATGGCCATATGTAGTAAACATTATAAGCGTTATCCTAATATATATTATGTCTTACATAAAATCTTTCCAGATGTTATATCTTTTATTAGCATTTATTCTTGCCATAAATTTTTAAAATTGATGAGTTAAAAACCTGATGGATCATTTATTGGATTTCTTTGTTTGGTTTCAAAGCTTCAAAGATTTTTCATTTTGAAATTTTCAAATTACTTTCGATTTATTCGTTGGATAAATATTCGTCCATTTTCTGAATACTGTTTTGTTTCAGTCAATATAAGCTGTATGATGATGTGCAGAGCAGATTTTTTTAACTAGCTTTATTAACTTAATGATTTACTTGTTGATTTGAAACAAAAGATTTTAATGATTATACGATTGCAAATATATTCCCAACTGGTAATTATAATGAAATTCATTAATGCTTCATCGTTCTGTTTCTCTTTTTTGCTCATTTTACACTGCTTTTAGCTATTTAGTAGTTTTTATCTGATTATTTTTCTTATTGATTTCAAGTACGACTTTTTCACTGTATTAAATGATGTATTAACTACTCGATTGATCCATAATTTGTGAAAATTTTAAATCTTAGGTGCACATTTATCGAAAGAAACTAAGCAGTTATCAGCTGGTTTGTCACTTACTCATAGTTGTCGATTAGATCATATTAGAAGTTATTCATCGAGTTTTTGATTTTCACAAAAACGTTATGCTTTCGGAATCTGTGCAGATGGACAATGAATCTACGTATGATGCTCTCTTTAAAGCTGCTGTTGACATAATACAGAGCCTTCCAAAAAAAGGTTATTTAATCATTAAATCTAATTCTAATTTTATTTGAAATAAGATTTTCATAATAGTTTAGAATACTGTAGCAGGTATTGCTGTCGTTATAAACTTAGAAAGCCTACCAAATTTTGCCATAGTTAGGTTAAACTTAATCCTACTTCAATTGATTGAAATGATTTTGAATAATAGTTTGTGATTGGATTTTCAGGCGTGATCAACATTTCGACAAATCAAAAATTACGGCTTTATTCACTGTTTAAGCAGGGAATACATGGGAAATGCGACGTTCCATGTCCACCAATTTGGCATGTTGTTGATCAAATGAAATGGTAGGTTTTTTTTTATCCCTCAAAGCAATAAGTCTAGATAATAATAAGCAAAAGCTTTAATAGTTCGTTTAAATTCCGATGACTAGATAATGTTAGAAATAATATCATTTTCCATTTGTTTTTCTTTTTTTTTTTTGAATAAAGCTAACATTCGTTGAAAAACAATGCTTGAAACCAAAGCTTTTCTTAACCTTTAACATGTTGCATAATTAAATAAATAAAAGATATTTAAATTTTCACACCATTAAAATAATTGTTCTTAAAAGGCGTGCTTGGGATGCTCTTGGGTCAATGGATTCGTTGGAGGCGAAAAAAGCGTATATTGCAGAGTTGATGAATATTATCAACCATGTGCAACATAACTACGATATAGCAGAGTTAGCAAAAGAAAGCGACGAGCAAGCAAAAAAATTATTGAGAGAAAGACTTTCCATTCTTGGATATGGTGTTTTTTTTTTTTGTTCGGAACATTTGAAACATCTGTAAAAATGGGTTTTAAACTATAATTTTCCAAAAAACCATTTTAGAGTTTAATCATTGCCTTTGAGTAGTGGGATAAAATCTTTTAATCTTTCCAAATTTCCCACTTTGTGTTTGAAATCAATTGTTAATCAAAAAATTATTTCATTTTTTACTCAAATTATTTCTTTTTCATTATGATTGATGCTTTAGCGTTGAATTAATTGTACGATTTTTATATTAGAAAATTATTTATGTGCGTATTTACACAGGCTCACAATCATTTATTCGTTTACTTATTTACATTTTTTCAGATATAAGTGACTTAAAAATGAGAGAAGATTTGGGTGATTTTAGAAAACAATTATGCAATACGAATGAGGAAAGCTACGAAATGAGAACACACATGGTGAGTAGGATATTTGAATCTGTTAACTATTTTATTTACAAAGGGTAGGGAAGAGAGAAGAGTGCTAACTACGACAACAAAAAAAGACGGCAAAAATCATCCAATCTGTTGGTCATTTAATTTATGTTTTCAATCACTATAAGATAAAAATTCACATTTGTTACTACAATCTTAATCTTTTTATCCTAAAATTTGATCAGTTAGTTAATATGATCCTGAAAACTTAAATTTGCATACGCTTATGTTGTAAATTGATGATAGCATCTGCCTGTGATAGACGTTTAGTGGCCGGACAACCAAATATGCAAGTGAAGTTACTTTATAATATTTCAAAGTGAGGATGAGAATTAGCCAGTTCCTATCATAGTTTAATTGGCCTTTGGATGAAATAGTTTGATGTTATGCATTTCGAATCTCCTTTCTAATTTGTAATTGTCATTAAAAAATATGTGGCCCTTAATTATTGTGTAATCTTGATGATTCAAAGTGAATGATTTAAATGTGATTTACTACACTTGATATATTTGTAGCTGTAAGAAAATGAAAAATTTTCATATTAAAATGAACCATTTGCAGTGTAATAATCGAACTAATGAATTATCCGATCAGTGTTCAGAATCGAGCACTTCTACCGGAGAATACATTGATGCACTTTGCTGTAATAATGTAAGATGTTTCATTTTTCTGAGTTATTCTAAAGTATTTGACTTATTTTGAAAAACATCACTAATATCATAGCTTGCTTTAGTGTGAAAATTAGATTTTAAAGCAAAATATTTCAAAGCGCTATGGATATTTATTTTAAAATTCTTTTTCCTCTTCAGGAGCCATGTATTTGCTGCCGGGAACAACTACTAAAGCAAAGGTAAATATCATATTAATTTAAAATCTCAGATTTCTTCTTACTACATTTTCTTGCTTCGATATTTGTTAATTGTTAAATTATGAATATTATTATGACTAGCTAGATTAACTAGAAAATTGTGATTAACTAAAATCGAAAGATATTTGAAAGGAGAACAATTACTCTAATTAAATCAGTAACAAAATTATGCAAGTTACTGATTTGATTGCAGGATAGATCATACGAATGATAGTCATTCTTCCTTTTCTATTTTCGACATAGAAAACTTGAAAATAGTAATGCGACGACATCTGAAGGTATTCATCAATTTGCTGATGTATTTGAGACGTTTGTTTGCTATATTCTTGTGGAATTTTAAAGGATGCATCAGAAATCGATGGAAGTTGGCAGTTTTCACAATCATATTGCCATTTATTGTTTATTTTTCAATGACTTATTTCGAGGATAAATGATGCACACTAAATGAATTATATGAAAATTAATAATTCGTATAAATTTTTATTACATTATTTGCATTCATGCTTAAACCGCAATGGTTAAACTTAAATTTTGAAACTTAAACGTTCACTTGTAACACGGTCACATATCACACTCAACATATAGAACAGGAAAATTCAGCCACCATAAAGTCATTAATTCCTGATCAATTCAATTCCAGACAGTTCTTGTTCACAGTAATATACGACAGGTTCCCCTGCTGATCCACCCCAAACATCAACTTCAATCGATCCGCCCACGTTCGTAAAATTTCATTGAGTGGTACCTTTGATTATTTGTGTAACTTCCTTTGGCATCGATATGCAAAAGCGTGATCTCGATTTTCAATACAGAAGTTTCCTTTCAAAACCTTACCATGATAATATATCATATGATTTGGGAATTACGGGGATTTCGTGATGGGATGGGTCTAATTTTTTATCTCAAGATATTCGGAATACAGGATTTAATTGAAAAAGTAGTAAACAGGTAAGTGAAATGGATAAGTTTCCTTGAACTTGGATGTGTTGTATCGGGTATATGTTTTCAAATTGCATTCAGATGATAAGTGATTCGTTTTTTTTTTTTTGTTTATTATCATCATTATTTTTATATCTTAACTATGGTAACCAGGAGGTTAAAGAAATTTCTGCAATCAGATATTATCATGATGGCATCATTATCGACAAGCAAAGCTGATGCGAAAATGACACTTCCGGTTGGGAACGAATGTGTTAAAGGTGATTAAACTGTGTAATTTTCATCATTTACGCTAAAAATATGAGTATGGTTCTGTGATCAGATTCCACTAAATTAACTACTATTTTATAATGAAACAAAAAATGGTAGAAAACGATTGTACATATACTTTTCTAAAGGAAGTTTTTGTTTTAAAGTTATACCAAAAATGATGAAGTAGTTGCATCCAGCACAATATTTATTTATTAGGTCATTCCGTAAATATATCTCTTTATAGTGATTCACAATATAGATTACACTTAAACTTCTCAAAAAAAAGCTTACAGTATCAAAACATCAGATTACTAGTAAGACTTAATGTTTGCAGACACAAATGTACAGTTACTTTTAACGAAGATCGATGATTTGGAGAAAATGAAAGGAGCAGTAAGTGAAACATTACTGGATGTTGTTGATAAGCGGATAGCATATCCCAGGATGATTACTTCGTACGTTTCTGAAGCTGGGAAATACAGAATGAAGAGAATAGTTAGTTGTTCTTGTGAATTGGAGCTTGTCATTTAATTAACCCGTGATTTATTTCATCTAAAAAGAAGACTGTAAAGAATGAACCAAAACTACTTCATTTTTCTCTGGCTTAGCAAAGGCTTCAATTCCTTTACCCATGAAGAAGACATGGCGGTTACGAATAATTTATTTAAAAGAGGGGAATTTTAAGTAAGATAATGATGTATGACGAGTTCATTGTATCTCTATTATCATATCAGTGAGGATCGATGAGATTAATACTAAAGTGTGCAAATTGAAATTAAATTGGTATGGATTCAATAAAATGAATTTAGGAAGAAGCAGAATTAGTTTGGCAGACGGAATCTATGGAAAAAAAGGATGTTAAAAAGATGCTGGAGATGATTAATGAAGCAAAAAAGACTGAAAAGGAAAACGATGCACTTCTACAACGTTTTCAAGAGGTGTGCTTTTTAACTTCTTCTCTCTCTCTCTCTCTCTCTCTCTTTCATGTTCTTATTTCAGGTACATGTTCAAATTTCTTTATGTAATGACGAATACTTTATTTTTTAGTTGAAAAGAGAAAATGAAGTATTGGAAAAAGCGGCAAAAATGAACGATAAAACTATTAGAAATATGATGTATTGACTATTGATTGTATTTTAAATTCCTGTCTTGTTTTTGATATTTTATTAATTATATCATTGTGCATTGATTTTGCTCAGTTGTAATTATATATATATATGATTTTAAAATGATTACAATGAAACGATGAAAGATATCTGGTTTTGAGTACTAACTCCCAAAAAAAAAAATTGTGTTGAAGATGCTTGAAGCAAA